GCATCTCTATATGCCAGACTCAACACCCATTCTTTATTGGATAATCCTGCTACCTCTCTTTGAAACTCTATACTTAATATTGCCATCCATCTCTCTTTCAAGGCATCTCTCTTCTAACCGCTCTCTCTCTCTCTCTCTCTCTCTCTCTCTCTCTCTTCCCCCCTCTCCCCCTCCCCCCCTCCTCCTCTAATTCCTCCAATACCTCATTGTCATCAGCTACTCACTCTCAAAGCGACTTTGCCTAAAATCACATATTCACATTACTGCAACTCCTCTCTCTCCTCTCCTCTCCTCCAATCCCACATCGCCATCAGCTCCTTCCTCTCAAAGCAACTTTGCCACGACCACAATTACAGCAACTCATGTTCGTACCGTAGTTGGTGGAAACGCCTTAAAAGGCACTAGCTTAATAGACTAAGAGCAAATAATTAATCAGTATGATGTGAAGGATCTCAAACATGCAAACTTCAGTAATCGATAGTTGAGGAATTGGAAGTTATAATAGACCCTGTAATAACCAAGGGCAATGTTTTATGCCTTCCCAGATAAAGTTTGATCACAATTTGAGGATCTTCTTTTGGATTGCAATTGGCAGTTGAGAAAACAAGAATGGAAGTTCAGTAGACTCTAAAATAACCACAGGAAATATTATGCGCTTTCGAAGCTAAGGTTCGATGGCACCTTTGATGATCTTCTATTGGACTGCAAATGAAGGATTGTCGTTCAAAAGATATATGGTACTTGATGTTTCCTCGTCTTAAAGATTCAGTCATAAATTAACAAGACTCTTTGATCAAAAAGACAAGTGCTAATATGACTCTGAGTTAAAAACTCATCACAAAAGGAGAATCTTTGATGAAAGACACCAAAACTATTGCAGACAGAGCCCCTCATGGATACTCGTATGGAATCGTTTTCAAACAATACAAATGTTAATTATTAATGCTTCAATTTTGTTAATTACCCTGTTTTTATCTATTGCATACTTCGGCAGTCACCCAAACACATACAATAATATATCATAATATTCAGTTTCCTTCACCATAGCTTTGAAATCAAACTACCACGAAACCCCAACCTTCTAATAAATGCAAAATATGAAAAGTATCTTATCATTGCACAGCAAAAACCAATTAATCTCCAAAAGAAAGAAGAGAACCCACATCTTTATGTCTGAAAAGCAAAAATCAACTATTGAAATCTAAAATAAAACAAAACCCTTGAATAATCAAAGAGATTCAAATCTAAAACATTTGAAAAACCACAATTTTCCAGAGTATAAGAAAATTCAAAATACTACAAACAAACAAAATTATACACAAAACCACACAAGAAAAAGAGAAATCATTTTTCGCAACAATGTGCATAAGCATCACAAATCTGAGAGATTTGAAAACGAATATGGAATATACCTTGAAAGCTTGGAAGAGGATCTCTTCTATGGGACATAAATCCAGGATGGAAGTATGTGAGATCCCATGTGTGACTAGGGACACATTCAAATGTTCTCTCTCTCTAATAAATCTCTCATTTTACACTAGAGCCAAACTTAGAAGATGAGAGAGAGAGGGATAGAAAAAAGCACATAAGGAGAAAGAACAGATGAAAGAGGTGAGAGATCAGAGGGAGATGGGGATGAGAGAGAAGATGAAGGAGAGGGGAGGAAAGGGAAGATGAGAGAAGAAGAAGACATTTTGCAAACACCAGAGATAAGGCGGCGATGCTTGGGCTTCTGAGCTTGGAGGCAGGGGCGAGAGGAGCTAGGGTTGGAAGCTCTGAGATGGGAGGAGGCGGCGTTGGAGCTTTGAGGCAGGGGGAGCGCTAAGATGGGAGAGAGAAACCATCGGGGAAATAAGTTCCCAAATGCCCTGAAACTAAGTTCTTGCCTAGGAGGTGAAATTTATTTGTTCCTTTTTTTATAACTAAAAACGGAAGATATGGGGAAGTTATTTGCCATACTTCTGCATCTCTATATGCCAGACTCAACACCCATTCTTTATTGGATTATCTTGCTTCCTCTCTTTGAAACTCTATACTTAATATTGCCATCCATCTCTCTTTCAAGCTATCTCTCTTTCAACTCTACTCACTCTCTCTCTCTCTCTCTTCCCCCCTCCTCTAATTCCTCCAATACCACATCATCATCAGCTACTCACTCTCAAAGCGACTTTGCTTAAATCACATATTCACATTACTGCAACTGCTCTCTCTTCTATCCTCCATTCCCACATCGCCATCAGCTCCTTCCTCTCAGAGCAACTTTGCCACGACCCACAATTACAGCAACTCATGTCCCTAACGTAGTTGTTGGAAACAGAACCCGAATCGTTTCAAGAACCAAAACAGCGGAATCGCGCCTGGCCAAAAGTTTCCCGTTGCAAGAATCGTTGTCTGTACAATAAGAATCGCTAAGAACGAGATTCCTAATTTTCAGGAATCAAGAAATGATCAGAATAGGTCCAAGTTTCATCCACATATGGAATCCAGATTCCGGCCTCCTTGGAATCGAGATTCCAATCCCCTTGGGTTCAACACTCCAAGTGTCAAGTTTCATTAATATGCGGAATCAAGTTTCCGCCATCTATGGAATTGAGTTTCCGACATATACAAAATCGAGTTTCCATCATTTATGGAATCGAGTTTTCGACATATGCGGAATCGAGTTTCTATCATTTCTGGAATCGTGATTCTAAGATATTTGGAAACGAGTTTCCATCATCAATGGAATTGTGTTTCCAACATATTTGGAATCAAGTTTCTGAAGCATATGGATCAAAGATCCATATTGGTTTGAGATCGAGAATTACAATAGTGGAATCGAGTTTCCGACATCACTTGATTAGAGTTTCTGACATATGTGGTACATAGATATGTTGCTATGTAAAATCGTGATCCTAACATATTTGGAATCAAGTTTATGAAGTATTGAAGGGGCGAGTTGGTCAGGTGTCACTGGGTAGACTTTTCAGACATTAGGACTATTGCAATACCATTTAGGAAGTGTCAAGTGTCACTGCGTAGATTGTTTAGATATTAGAGAACTTTGGGTTTTCTCAAGCTCAACCCATGACAGTGTGTGGTATAAGGCCTATAGGCAGTATCGCAAGTATAAGGTTGAATGTTGTGCCGGAAGGAAAGATGGTGGGATTGACATGTGTTAGTGTATCATCTGAGCGAGGACGTGGTTGGCAAAGCTAGCAGTAGCACTGGAACACCAACTCGCCCCTTCATCAGTTGAAAGGACTAGCCAAGTGATTGCTGATATCCTTTTGAAAGCCATAGAGTCGATTGGACCATATAATGTGGTTCGAATCGTAACCGACAATGCGGCCAATTGATGATATCCTTTTGAAAGCCTTAGAATCAATTGGACCGTATAATGTGGTTCAAGTCGTAACCGACAATGCAGCCAATTGCAAAGGTGCAGATGCTATAATTTTCAACTTATTCTTTCACATTATGAGGCTCCAATTTGAGAAACAAGCAGCCATGAAGCACAAAGTACAATAAATGATCATTTGAAACATCATATACAGCAAAGCTAAGTTACTAATTCAATTCCATAAACGCCTCAATAATTTATCGGGAAACTCTAAGTAACTATGAGCTGCTCAACATATTGAAAGAAGCCATAGCCAGAAAATATTCAAATCCGGATTACTGAACACTAAAGATAAATTCATAAACATAAATATGTAGGCAAACAAGAACTTAAATAGGTCATCCTCCCACGTTCAGGTAACAAGCAATAAAAAGATTGACAAAAAGGTTAAAAAGAACAGCCCTAATCAATAGTTGTAATCATGTAGTTTGAATCTAAAACTGAGCCCAAAAGAATTGCGGCGTAGTTTACTGTTTTCTTCACAATTCACAAATCCCATGTTCCAGTTTTCTCAGTCTTTCGAACCCTCCACTAGCTCCTTTCAATTCCATGGTTGACCCATACTATTCCTCTATGATGCACTATAAAATTTACCGGCAAACAACACCAGTAAAATAACCTAGCACCCGAATTTTGATATGCATCACTCTAGGCTAGTGCAACAAAGGGGAACTCCCACCAAAAAAGTTGTTGAAAGTCTATGGCCCTTCAGAATGGCCGCACCTTCCCTGTCTTTTCTTTCTCAACACTCTTCAAGGCTGAGGTGTTGCATAAATTTTCAACTTATTCTTTCACATTATGTGGCTCCAATGTGGGAAACAAGCAGCAATGAAGCACATAGTACAATACATCATATACGACAAAGCTAACTTACTAATTCAATTCCATAAAAACCTCAATAATTTGTCAGGAAACTCTGAGTAATTATAAGGAGCTCAACATATTTAAAGAAGCCATAGCCAGAAAATATTCGAATCCGGATTACTGAACACTAAAGATAAATTCATAAACATAAATATATAAGCAAACAGGAACTTAAATCCATCATCCTCCCGCGTTAAGGTCACAAGCAATAAACAGATTGAGAAAAATGTTGAAAAGAACAACCCCAATCAAGAACTGTAATCAGGCAGTTTGAATCTAAAATTGAGCCCAAAAGAATTGCGACGCAGTCCGCAGAAATAAGAATAAGGGGAACAAAAAGGAAGAAGCTAGTAAACAACAAAGATGTAGAAGAGAAACCTGGAAAAGGGCACGTCCACTCGGTTTTGCAGAGAGTTTCTTGACACCGGCTTGATCGACAATTCTGGTGGCTCTCTCAAAGTTCTTCCCGTAAAGGAAATGCAAGCTGATCATGCAGCCGCAAGTAATTGAGTAATGGCCCTGTGGAAGTGTAGAGAGAGAGAGAGAGAGAGAGAGAAAGAGAGAGAGAGAGAGAGAGAGAGAGAGAGAGAGAGAGAGAGAGAGAGAGAGAGAGAGAGAGAGAGAGAGAGAGGAGAGAGTAGTAGTAGTAGTAGTAGTAGGTAGGTAGTAGTAGGTAGAGAGGAAGGGTAAGGAGGTACGGAGGTACGGTACGGTACGGTACGGTTACG